GCTTGGCCAATGCTATTCTCGTGCTCTAAGGGCCAATAACATGTGACTGCGAACGCACTTGACACTTTCATGGAAAGTTATTTAAATTAGAATAGTTCATACCTTCTTTTATCTTTCCTGGTGATTTCTTTATGCTAAAGGAGAACAACAATAATACACTGATTGGAATGGCAGGTAGCAAAGATTTCTTGTTACACAAGTAAATTTGGTTTTACAAATAAGCCCACCCCCCACCCCCCACCCCCCACCCCAATTTGTTACCACCACGCTCAGTTTTGACTCAGGATTTTAATCAGTTTTGGAAAGCAGGTTACTCCCAAAATTCCAACCCACCAACTCCCAATCAACAAACTAGTAAGTATTGTATGGGAGTATTTTCTTAGAGTTTAAAATCTGAAAGCATATCAGCAGGCTTTTAAAAGAAGCACATTGCTGCTGTTAATGGAATTAAAGGACTTAATGTTATAAAACACCTCAGCAGAAATACAAAATGGAAAGTGCTAGGCCTGCCTCATTTTATTTGGAGAACTCACAAAGGGTTAATTCAACAGGTCAAGCACAAGAGACAAGGAGTAGCCTGGAGGAGTATATGGAGGAGTCTGGTCTGAGAGACAAATGTAAAATGACAAAACACTGATGCCCACACCATGCACAACAGAAAAACTGTACAAAGGAGGAAATAAGAGCGTGGATGGAGTGAGAGAATGAAAAGGTGACATTTGAGTTTAGCTTTAAAGATAGAAAGGGAATCTGCCACCAAATACATTTGTGTTTGTGTTAAGTGTATTTGGGATCTGAGTAACTCTGGAGAACTACAGAAAATCTGAGAACCAGGTCAAAGATACAGGTCTAAGCCAGAGATAAGAGAAAAAACAAATATTTAGAACTTTAAATTTAGTAAGGTTTGACTGACTCCATTGGCTAGATGAGGAAGAGGATAACTACAGCATTTGGCTTTACACATTAAGTGGATGGCAAAGCTACTAAATGAAATGGGTAATAAAGAGGAAGGATAAGCTAGTGGCAGATAAGGCAAGTCTGGGACAAGCTGAGTTTTAGGAAGAGCCTCCTACTGCACTACATGATACATTTCAAGACACATGTTTTATTCACCCTCTACCCTGCCCCAGTACAAATAACAAGTGATGAATAAGTGCTCTGGGATTAGGAACTCAGAAGCTAGAGTTAGCAATGAGAACGAAGAAAAAGAAACGGTTCAAGACTAAAAAGGAAGTGAAATACATCCACCTTTCCCACCAAATTCAAATATCTGCTGTGTAGCTTTTTAATTCAGGCTTTATTATTTCTTCAGGTATATGGAGTCAAATGTACCGAAATGTATTTCAAAGATGGGTGTATGTAAGCAAGTAATACAACAAGGTCCATTACTTACTCTGTCCGTGAAGCTGCAGTTAACTTCTCTAGAAGAGTGTCTGGAAGGAGTTTCCTTTTCTTAGATAAAGACATTTAAAAATAAAAAGTGAGCTATATGACAATATACCCTGGGTTGCTTCTAGAGTTACAGATTTTAGGAAAAGCCTTTTAAGAAAATAAAGTTATGTAGGCTGACCACTGCCTCTACTATCTCTAAGGTTTGGGAAAATTGCGATCCTAAAATAAAAGCTCAGAACCTATTCTTTGGAAGACCCAGTTAAGACTGGAAAGGGTGCCCAATCCTTAAGTCACTGCTATATACAAAGTCACGTCCCTCTGTAGTCGGCTCTCTGTGGCCGATCTGCCAAACAAAAAGCAATCATATCGGTGTTTGTACAGCCCTTAGTTTACAAAGCACCTTATTTAATTCTAATGGCAACCCAGTTAGAGGTAAAGAAACTGCCCCCGGTGAGGCGAAATGACAGGTGTCACGGCGAGCTGAATGCCAAAGGTGGGGTTTAACAGCATGATTTCAAATTGACAGCTCTTCCCGCTCCCATTTTCAATCGGCGGACCGCAAAGAGTAAGCCCATCTTTGTTTTCACGGACGTCAGAAGAACCATTAGCGACGTTTCCCCCACCTTCACATCATATTACAGTTTTGCAATAAACACGGGAATTGTATCCCAAGCCAGGTTTTTTTTAAAAAGGAGACGCCTCCCACACTCTAACCTTTTGTTCGATGAACAGCTCCTCGCGTCGTTTCCTCTTCTCCTTCAGGAGTGTTTTATCCCTGGGAGAAAGGGTGACACGTCAGAGCGGGAGAGACAAGTGGGACGGGCAGGGACGGTTCTCTGGGTCGGCCGTAGGTTTCCAACCTGCGCACCGTGTCCCGAACTCGCCGCTCCTCTTCTCTTGCTTCCGCCTGGGCACTGGCGAAAGTCAATTCCTCCGGGGCCTCGTCGTCAAACTCGTCGTCCCCCTCTTCATCTTCCTCCAGTGGCTCGGCGGCCGCGCCGCTGCTGGGTTGCCCGAGCAACAGTCCGTGCTCCGCCTCCTGCTCGGAGGCTGGCTGGCCCTCGTCTACCATCGCCGAAGCCGACGCCGGGGTACGAGACGCGCGTGGCCGGAGCTGCACCATGGCTCACGTCAAATTGGACCGTCTGACCTCTGACCCGGAAGCAGCAGACCGCACGCCGAGCGTGACTTGACGAGCGAGCGACACCAGTTGAACCTTATCTGCCAGGTTCCAGGCCCCACTGAGAGACAGGAAGCGGAAGCGGAAATCCGTCCCACAACGAACGAAGGCGCGTGCGCCATGCGGAGAGAGGCGTGGCCTAAGTTGGGTCAGGTTTGGGAGGTCTTGGCACTGAGCCTGCGCGCTGGACGTTGCGGATCTCTGCTGGCAGGTGAAGAGAGCTGGCTGTGAGAGCGGGTGGGAATTGGGCTTGTTTCCAGGCAGGATAAAAACTATCCTGCTGCCTTCTTGGTCGGGATGCTGAGAGCAGAGTTGGCTGGGTCGCCGCGCTCCTCGAGGCGGGCTGGCGCGCGTCACGCCATCCGGTGCCTAGGAAACTGACGTTCGCAAGCCGTAATCGTCCTGTCGTCGCCTTTGAGCACCAGAATTCGCTTGGTCGATCCAGTTAATCAGTATTTGTAAGGTCGATTCCCTTCACTCCGCATTCCTTGAAGCAGTGGAGTTTTAAAGGGAAAAATGCGCTATAGCGGCAGGACAAGTTGACAGCCACAGGTTTAAATCAATTCTCTGCACCAAATGTATTTGGCGACTTCGGCCGCTGTTTCTCCAGCTTACCTGACCACCAGCCCCTCTACCACTCTCTGTCCGTGCCTCTGTTACGCGTTCATCACTGACACCTTCCCGAAGAGTTTATTGGCTGACTCCGCCCCCCCACCCCGCTTTAAATGTAGGCTGTGTGGGAGAGAGCGGGGACCCCATCTGTCTCCCTGATGAAACCCCATGACCTGAAACAATGGCTAGCCCATCGCAAATCCTGAATCCGGGGAAAGAACAACTTCACCATACTTAGTGAATGCAACCCCATTATTTTCTTCCCCACCAAATATATTTCATTTTTTTCGGCATACAGGCCCATCGTGACCTGTGTTTATTTTCTCCCACCCTTTATTCAATACTAAATGATTCATCCTTCATTCTTTAAACAAACCAAGCTGCTTCATGTTCCTTCTACCCACTCTTCCACGTGGAACTCCTGTTCATACAGTACCAAAAAACACCACCAGGTGTTTCCTTCAGAAGCCTTTCAAACACCTTAACATCTACCTCATCCCCACTGTGCCCATCTCTAACTGCATCTGCCTCTGAATCTTGCACAAATTTCTATTACTGCAGTTTCTACACTGTATAATAGTTTATGTGGAAGTTGTCCCAACCATTCTGTTAACTCCTTGAGGGTAAGGTCCATGTCTTACTAATTTTATTTCTAATGCCTATCATGTGGTAAACATTCAGTAATATTAAATTGAATTATGATAAATAATTTTTCCTCGTATTTTGTATTTTCAATTCTCCTTTCATCTTCTCGAATAAAACCAAAACATGAACAAAAATGATAAAACACACACGCACACACAAAAAGCTGCTGGTACCAAAGGCCCAATTTGAGAGGAGTTGCAAAGAACAGTTCTGAAATATCTAGGCCTTGGTCAGATAGAAATTAAAAATATAATCAGACTTTCTGAGGCAGCATGCTGACTTCCATCATTGCTAACACTAAGAAAATGTATAAAGTAAATTTGAGAAGTCCAATGACAAACCTATTAAAAGAGAACGAATCGTATCTTATATACAAAAACTACATAAGTGTTACACATCCCCTCAGTGTACATGCCTTGACCCAGCCACAGGAAGTGTGAATTGAACCCTAAAGGCTGGCACTTAAGACTCCCTGTAGGTTATGAATATCCCTCTTCTCCATGCAAAGGACCTTTGGGATTTATTAAAAGGTATGATTTGCAAATGCAGTACAAAGCTTTATGTGATAGTCCACAAAAGCCAAGGATGTAATGTTAAATGCAATCTTGTAAGGGTCTGGAGTGATGTGGCCAGATGTGTAATCACTCAGGGAGTCACCTGATCCAAGGAATTTTGCTTTGTGTATGACCTTCCTACACACGTTCCTAAAGTCCACTCCTCCCTGCCAGGCCTCTGATGGTTGCTGGACAGCCATCAGGCATTCCAAGGGCCCTGGGGGCCGCATTAGGTGATGGGGCTTGAGGTGAGGACTGTTTTCTTGCTACTTTACTCCAAGGTAAAGTCCCATGGGAAACACTCAAGAATTCAGTGTCTAGGAAAGGCTGGCAGACCCCACAGGGGCTATATGATTCTGAGTTTATGATATTAAGAAAGTCAACCATCAACTTTCCCTTTCCTCCTTGGCTGCTAAGCAGGCTAGCACTAAAGTTACGCAGTTGTGTTTACCTTTGGAATCTCTATTTGCATCATTTTTTTTTCTTGGTCTCATTCTTATTTTCTACCTTGTTACTACTTTTCTATTCCTTCTTTGCTTGAGTTCTGGTTCTAAGCTATCCCACATACTCTGAGGTAAAGCAGCCAAGTTAAATACTGAAAAGAAAAAGTCCCCATCATAGATGTCTCATGGGGTCACATCTTTATACAATAACTTACTGTAGAGAGTGATTTTATTTTCTATCCAAACTTGTGCAAAAATCAGAAATATCAAGGTTTTTACCTACTTCCATCTTTGCCAAATGGCAAAAATACAATTAGGATAATTACATTTTTAAAATACTCTAATTAGAATTTTCTCCCAATAACCAACCAAACACATCAGAGGTATCTTATGTTTAAGTTCCAGCCAAATAACATGCATTAACTTTACAGTCCTTTGACTTCTTTTTTGTATGTAAAGGTAGAGGTAACTCCATTTGCTATTGTTACCTCTAAGGCCCTATCAGTAATCAGCAGGCTGGACCCCAGACAAGTAATCATAGGGTATTTTTAGATCTTCCAGTATTCAGCTTGCCATCCATAAGACTGTCTCTCCTCTGTTTGAGGCCTGGTATTGAGATGTACTATAATTTCTTCCTTCTCCAGGACAATTAAGAACCTGTTTCAGTTTCATGAGGAGCCAGGGCTTCAGGAAGGGTTGTGCCACAGGGCCCCTGGAAATGAAACCTGAAACAGAAAGGCAAATACAGCAGTTAGGAGCCAAACCAATGTACTCCTTTAGCAAGTCGCACTTCTCAATTACACCCAGAGTAAAACCCCAATTCTCACAAATGTGGTATTATGAATTTTTGTGCCCACTTTCTTTCATCTAGTTTCTGACAATTCAAGAAATAGACATTTCACTATGGACTGACCCTTGTAATCAAGAGAATTTAGGAAAGGATATGCCTAGAATTTAGATGGTATAAAATAATTTTTATAGGGGAGATATGATTATGAAGTATATTGCCAAACTCGTAACTGAAGTTTTAAAGTTTTATAATATCTATATACTACATTAAAATAGAATTCATATGTATTAAGGAAAGAGAAAAATAATCTTATGCATCACACAGTCCATAAGGATTTTAGCTGAGTCAACAGGCCTCTTAAACCATCCATTGGACTTCACAACAAGCTCTGACTTAGTAGAAAGGAGGGGGGAAAAAGAGAGAAAAGTAAAAGATAGTGCAAAGAGGAGGAAAAAAAATCAATGATTTCTGCCTCCTTCAAGGGAAAACACTTAGGGCAAGAAAAAAAAAAACAAAAACAAACTCAACTCTGAATAAGAAATAAAAGCAGGATTTTTTTTCCTCAGTGTATTATTAATAAGAAAACCAATTGAGCACAAGTAAAAATGAAAAACATTTGCTCAATGTATCATATTATTTATTCTTGATACAACACAAATCGTGAATGCCTTCTCCCCTAAATACTCTGTTGTCTCCACACAGTGCCACTAATGTACCTCCCTGACCAAATGGCATTCCCACTCCTGCCACCTGCAGCAAGGGAACACTAGCCACTAGAAAACTCCTCACCAGCACAGTGGTTACAGACCCTTGAGAACTTTCCAAGAACTATAACCAGGCATGGAGAGCTTTTAGGGAATTTCCATATCCTCAATCCCATGTGGTCTCCTTCCTAAGAAAGTGACTCTCAAGTGCCCCTCTCCACATTCACCCTTCTCCACTTCACAAAGGCAAGCCGTACCCCTCACATGCCCCGTATCTTACAAGGGTGCCTTAGTCCATAATGTGAAAACCTGCAGGATGCCGGAAAAGGAGACATTTGAAAGATTGATGCAGATTAAAGAAAACAAATGATTTCTAAAGACTGGGTATCACATCCTTATGCAAGTGGGGCCATTTCATTCTTGCTTTCATTAAAACAGAGAGGGTCTGATAGAATTGTCAGCTAACAGAGAACAAAATGAGATATAAAATTACTATGGGTATTTTAGCATATAACATGGAAGGAGGTCCAAAATATGAGTGGAATGCCATAAGGAAATTCCTTTCATCCCGGGGTTTATGTGGCCAGTGTCTCTCAGTAAGTCCATCTATGAAAAGCAAAAACTAAGGTTTACAGTTGACATTGAAAACATGAAATTGACCTTGGCCAGTGAAAAATCTGTCCTGCCATCCCTCAGACTGGAATAAGAGACAGATAAAGCAAGCTGCAGAGTGAATAGAAAATAGTTATTTTCCCTAGGACAAGCTGCAAAGAATCATAACAATACACTTCTTTGAGTAACTGCATACTTTTTTTTACTCACTGAGGAATTTTGTCTTCTAAAACTATAAAGTATCAGAAACTTCACTGTTTGAAATTAAAGCAGTAAAGAATAAACAATTCCCTTGTGCCTAGAGGATGTAAGTCACTTTGCCTTTGAGAAGCAGCCTTGATATTCCAACCCAGGTGCAGAGCCCCAGATGAGGGGTGTCTGGGCACGACAGTCCACAACTACCTTTCCTTTGTTGTTTCCAAGGACACAGGACCCTGGGTCCACTTTGCCAGCCAGACCGATTGAACCCTTTTCACAAAGCCCTACCAGTTGCTGAATCTATTGAAAACTGCTTCATTTAAATTTCAACTAAACCTCACTCTCCCAACAAATCCTGTTATTCTATTTTTTCCTTTGTTTGGGGACTTGCCATGTTTCCTCTGGGGTGGAGTCTCATTACATTCACTCAGTAAGCCTGACTTCTCAGATTACAGGTTCATTTCTAGTGATGGTGGGCTACAAGGTGAGCCGTCTGTCTCCTTCTAACAATCCATAATATTCAGCCATGGATACATGAACTAATTCCCAAAATTCATGTCCCATGGTGCAGTGCCTACAAAATTTTACTTTTATTGAAGAGTTAATCAAATTTACCATTTGTTTGTTCTTTTAAACAACTACATACTACAAATTGCTGTAGTGATAATTAAATCTAGAAAAAAATTTAAGAGAACATTCAAGTGTTAAGGAAATTGAAAATAAATAAGTCATCAGATATTTTGTTGCAGAAGTACAATAAATAGGGTAGTCAACAAAAGATTTTCAAACTTAAAAATATATTACATTAGTACAAATTCCTGTACTATTGGAAGTACATTAATGGAATACAAGTTCAAAGACAAAGAGAAAAACTGTGAAGGCTCAAACTGTTAAAAAGGATGGTGCCCTGGCTGGGTGGCTCCATTGGTTGGAGCATCATCCTGCGCATCAAGAGGTTGCAAGTTTGATCTCCGGACACGGTGCAATCTGTAGGCAACTGGGCAATGTTTCTCTCTCACATCAGTGTTTCTCTCTTTCTCTCTCTAAAAATAAATAAAAACGTATCCTCAGGTGAGGATTTATTAAAAAATTAAAATAAAAAGGTCTGTATATTTATTTTGTAAAAGGATGTGGCAGCTATTAAGTACTTATGGCATTCAGATTTGCCTGGATACAGTTAAAACCACGACAATGTCAGTTTTACTTTAAAATGTCAATATTTTATTTCCAATACTGTTGGAATCACATCTTTTTGCATCATTTTGATATAAAATTTTAGATGTCAGCTTTACAAATGTGACAGAGGAAATGAACAAATGTTTGAAGACCTGTGTCCTAGCACCCACGCACTTTGCTCCACCCCTTCAGTCGTGAAATAATCGAGACTACGGTGTTCCAGAATCTGCTGATGCCATTTTTATCGGTTACTGTAATTATCCAATTTAATTTAAAATTATGTAATAAATTGCAAAAATATAGCTGTTAAAAGAGGGTAATTTCTAGTAATATTAATTCAATGTTTTAGAAACACACAGTCACTAAAAATGATTGTTAAATTAGCCATAGTTGGCAATGACTAGGGGGAAGACCATCGCAAGCTTCTTTTTGTGCATTCTTTCTCCACTTAGAAACAGAAAAAAATGTTAAAACCAGAAATTATAATCCAGTGTTTTCCAAGATTTCCTGGTAATAAGAGTTGCTGGGTCACTCGTTAAATATGCAAATAATCGGTCCTCTTGCCCTGGGTAATTCTGACTCAGGAAGTGTATACTGGGGCCTAGGTGTCTGATTGTCTTGGTTGTCTGAGTTGTTTTATAAAATAAGGGCTGGGTGATTTTTATCTTCAGGAAAATTTCGGGAACACCAGGAGGATTATGAGTATACACATTTATGTAAGAAAGGTGAGCTCCAATCCACAGATTCCTACTCAAAGAGAAGGACCTTAGCTCTATCAAAAAAAAAGAAAAGAAAAGAAAAAAATGAATACACATTTATGCTTTAAATGAGAATAAAATATTTAAAATGTCTTTTATTATTATTCTTGCTTTAAGTGACTTTTTAAAAAGTTTATTTATTTATTTATTTATTTTCCAAGAGGGGAAGGGAGGGAGAGACGGAGAGAGACATCTATTGGTTGCCTCTTGAATATGCCCCAACTTTGGGATGGGCCCGCAACCCAGGTATGTGCCCTGCCTGGAGGAATCAAACTGGGGAAACTGAACCAGTGACCCTTCACTTTGTGGGCGATGCCAAAACACCACCAGTCAGGGCTGACCTTTTTTTTTAAAAAAAAATTAACAGACCACTAGGACTCCAGTCGATTGCATGGACTAAAAGGGCCCCTATGAGCTTCCCTTGACAATCCAGCCAGATAGGGCACTGGACTTCCCTGTCAAATGTGGTCAACTGTCAATTAAAATAAGTAGCCTCTTTACATTCCTGATGAGTAAATACATAATTTAAGCAATCTATAAAGCTGTTGCCTAGCTCAGAATGACCTAGTCTTCTAAACTCCACCAGCAATTAGTTTTCCTTGGGGCCACTTGTTCCGCAGCACCAACATGTTACTTCCCTACCTCACTGACTGCATCTTCTGGGACTCCTCCCTCCACTCCAGCCACACAGACCCGTCTGTTGTTCCTCAAACCTCCCAGGCATGCTGCCCAATTGGGGCCTTTGCTCTAGGTGGTCTCAGTGTCTAAAAGAGCTCTTAGCTCAGATAATCTCTTTAGCTAACGCCTTCACCACCTTCATGTCTGCTCAAATCTCTTCTCAATGAGGCTGGCCCTAACTACCCAACTGAACTCTGCGACCTCCCTGCACCCCATCTGCAACCCTACCTTTGCTTTTTCCAAATGTCACCCACCTTCTCATGTGCTATAGAATTTGCACATTTATTATGCTTCCTGGATACTGTTTGCTTCCACTGCTAGAGTAACATCTTCTCACAGATCTTTTTGTTTTGTTTACTGCTACATGCTATACTAAGCACCCAGAACAGTGTCTAGAACATATGAGCTACTTAATAAATATCTGTGGACATCAACTAAATTCCAAGGTTTATAGAAATTAACAGCTGAACATCATGGTGGATGCAGGGCATGGCGGGCCCGGAGTGCTTGGAAGGCCTGCACACCAACAGCCTGGCAGGGGGCGTGAATCCCATTACTGCCTCAGCAAATGCGCTGACCCTTACATGCCAAGGACCCCGGGGCATGTAAGGTCAGAACCTTGAAGCCTAAACCCAAAGATGCACAGTATCTAACAGTAATGGTTTATCAGAAATCATCCAAGATAGCCATCAAGGATAGGGAAAACAACAAACACAGAATGGAACTAATTAACACCGTGAAAATATTAACATATTTCAGTGGGAGACAAATGCTGTGACTGTGTCTCTAAATTAGAATTGGGGCAAAGA